GCATGAAGTATAAAATATCGCTACAAGTGCTGATTTAAACGCTTGGTGTTAGACTTGTGTTTTGTTTAGGTACAAATCTCTCTATCTATCTCTCTATCTATAACTATCTATCGATCCATCTGTAATGTTCTGTTCTATGGACATATAATTGTCTACATAAACAGACGACGCGGACTACTTCTCTCATTCCGAGTGTCCACCTTTATTCAACTGGCACGTAACCTGCACACATGCATTACGTCCTCAACGTGAGCTCAGTCATCCAAGATCTTGTATTCTCCAAGATGTTACACTATCTATAACTATACATCTATCTCTCTCTTTCTCTATCTCTCTATCTCTCTCTCTATCTATTCTCTCTATCTATAAGGAACCGCAGTAGACAAAAGGCGTTGCCATAGCAACACGTCATGTTTACACTGCATCTTCTATAAGGTAAATATTACCCGCTGGCGGATATGGGTATAAATGGCAATTTATTTGGCGATTTTTTCAATCTGACTTCCTATTGACAATTTTTAACAACAGAAGGTGCTATATAACACACTTTCAGGAAAAGTCACGGACTGGGAAACGTTAATATTTTATTGAAAAAAAGTTACATACAATAAAAAAACAGCTGCGGGTAAAATCTACCCGTTGGCGGTTCTAGTGTTAAGGTTGAAAACATGTCTCTTGATAGTAGTAGTAGTAGTATAACCTTTATTTAGCCAGGAAAATCAATTGAACTTATTTCCAATGATGACCTGACAGGAGGCAAAAGGCTTCCTGAGGGGATGGGGGTTGGGAGGAAGGAAATAAAAAGACCGACTCCGGGCACTACAGAACCCAGGAGACAACACAATGACACAGAGCAGAGATGACAGGCATAGCAGTTCAACATATAACATCTCTAAAACAATACTGCTGGGGTTCAATCAGTCATTCAAATAATATAGAACATTCATCCCTTCATGGCAATGCATGGAGAGGTCATTGATCATGTTGAGTTGAAGTGTTCTGTTTCTGAAGGTTGTGGTGTTATAATTGTATGAGGTTGTTTATCTTTCATTTACATTTTCACAGCTGTTTTTGCACAATGGGTACTGTACTTTCAAAGGGTTATATTATTATAGAATATTATATTATCCGGTTTTAAATCACTAATGACTAAATGTAAGAGCATTGTAATGTTGTAGTTTGTTAATATGGATGCAATTTCAGATATTTGATATTCTTCTGGGGAGATGAGTAGTACAGTACTGGATTATATCATATGATTTACATTTAAAATAAATGTAGTGCAGTAAAAAGTAGAATATCTACATGAGTGAATATTTTGTGTGTATGCAAAAATGTTTAAAATGCACGCTCGTAAGTTGTCACAGCAATTGCGAATTTTCTCTTGTTCACTTGCTAAAATAACCCGTGTTATGGACTCAGGGGGGACTCAAACATATCATGAATAACCTATTTGTTTGTTCTTGATGAATGAAAAGTCAAATGAGTATTCGGTCAAAACGTTTTTCACCTGAGAGAAGAGGAGGTGTCCGTTCTCGTCACACGGCAGCATGTCGTCCACCAGCACGGTGGTCCACAAACCGTCTTTGCACAGACGCACTTGATAGGCTCCTTCTGCACACAGCGCGCGCGTCACCATCACCTTCTCCACCAGCTCGGGACGTTCAGCCAGAACAGCCAAGGCACTCAGGAACCTGTTCTCAAAAACATGTAGACACACCGTATAACTGACCGGAAGTTTAAAGTGAGACATTACAAGTAAAGACATCTTTCTTTTCTACTACTTTGGGTTATTTAGTTTCACTAACATCTCTTTTTTTAAGACTAATTGGAAGGAAACATTTCTACACCAGGCTCCGTATAAAAAACGACCATTGCTCAAATGAGGAGAGAAAAGTACGATGGGCTAGCAGAGTGAATTAATGATGTATTTTTTTTTTTTGCTTACAATTTTATAAAGAGAGATTAAAAACAAGAAATACATTTGGCCTTGTGCATGCTACATTAACCGTGGGCTCACCAGCAGTTACCCAGAAGTCCTTGCAGGATGTCGGACGGACGAAGCGTTCGGAAGACAGACCACTTCACTGTGCGGTCTCTCGAGTTGCAGCAGTTGATTTCGTGAGGACGAAGCCACTTTCTGACCCGATGCTGGACGCTGTCGTCCACTGGGAAGCCCACCGACTTCGGACCGGGGTGGAAGCTGTCGTCCACAAACGTCACGGCATTCTGGGCGAATCAAATCACAGAAACAAATACACCTCAACTTTGTTGTAGAAACAGAAATGTAATAGACCTAATAGTCCACTTTCAGATCCACTTGTAAACTGATTTTTGCATGCTTAATTTCGTTTGGCTACCATTGTTTTGGGGAGTGTGTGGGAGAGAAACTCCCTCTGCAAGGAACTTGGGATTTTAGCCTTCAGACCATTTACATGCACAAAAACCTATAGAACACACTACAGGAGAGGGAAATCGCCAAAAGCATCCGAGGACCCCTTTAATGTTTGTTTTTCTGTTGCAGCTGGTAAACATTTAGCTTGTTTTAATTACCTTTATACCGCTGGCTATTTTATTCAATAACAAATCTTCATCATATATGGGTTGACTTTATTTTGTGATATTGACTCTGCAAAGAACTGGTAAGTAATATTGTCAGATATATTTAGTGGATAGAAAAGTACATATTTATACCTGAGATGCAGTGGAGTAGAAGTATAAAGCAGCATCATTTGGAAATACTCAAGTAAAGGAAGTTTGTACTTAAGTAAAGTACTCGAGTGGACAGACCTCAGTGCAGAAGCTGACGATGTTCTCCCACAGCTCCTTGGCCTCTCCTTCATCGCTCTGCCGCAGCTCCTCCACCAGCATGCTCTCCTTCCTCCCCGGGGACGGAGCATGCTTCAGCTGCCCGCCCTGCTGCTGAGGAGTGTGGCAGGCCAGACAGTGTTTGGCTTTGCCCACGTTAATGAGCGTGCACGCTGGACACGCCCACTCCTCCGTCCTGTTGACACTCTGGTGGAAAGAAGCATGGACGTCCGGGACAGGGGACATCGGGGACATCTCCTCCTTCAGGATGCTGAGCCGCCTGCCGGGCTGCTGCTCCGGCTGGATGGACAGATGTGAAATAGCGAGCGTGGACGGAGAAGGACTTAAGTTGTGAGTTTGATTGAGGCAGCCTTCTGGAGGTGGTACCTCTCTGCGGCTGCAGGGGAGGGGGTTATTATGAGAGGAAGACCCTGCGCTGAGCATCGAGGAGGAGTTTGTGTGTGGAGATGAAGCTTCTACGGGTAAACTCTCTCCTCCGGTGGATATAGAAAGAGAAAGCGTGCCGGCTGCAGGCTCTGCTTGTTGCACAGTCTGATCGCCAGGCAGGAGCAGGGCGTCTGCAGGGATCTGGGGGAGAGACAGTTTGCGAGGCCCGCCACATGCGGAGCAGGACATGGAGGTAGGGGTGTTCTGCAGAGTGCACCTCGAACACTCCCAATGCAGGCTGCTTTTAGCTGCATCTTTTGTGTTTTGCTCAGAGTACGACGTCCTCAGGGGTCCGGAGCAGCTGCTGGAGCGCTGGGGCCGGGGCTGCTCCTCAGAGGACCGCCGGGGTCGCTCCGGTGCTCCACTGTAGAGACACAGAGAGCAGGACAGGCTGTCGGGGGGGTTGGCGAGTGTGCAGCGTGGGCAGGACCAGCGACCATCCTCCCTGCTGCCCCCTGGCTGCCACGTCCAGCGCCGGGGGGCTTCACAGATGGAGCAGCGGTGGGCGCCGGCTGCGTTTAGAAAAGTGCAACAACCACAAACCCACTGGCTCCTCTGCATGGGCATCGAACCTGAAGAGAAACTGCAGAGAAAACACAAAACAGAGTCATAATAATTAAAACATTAACATTCCTCTGTTTTTTCTGTTCTTTTACATTTAAAAGTATATATAAATAAATATATATGTAAAGGTAATTTCAATATAAAAAGATGAAAATGTATTTACATTTCAGAAAAAAATATAAAAGAGAGATCAAACTTAATTTAAATTTTGATTTCATATATTTTGATTTGGTTTTAACAAATGTCTTTATACCCATGTTATAGAGATGGTTATGTAAAGTTGCTTTTTTCCCCTTGCTTTTGTTTGGATATCTGTTGTGTTGTAAAAGGGCTATATAAACAAAGGAACTATATTTGTATGCATATAATCAATATCCTAACTTTCAATTAGTTGATAGATCTCGCACGATTACGTGCACTATTCTTTTATATCTGTAGGAGCCTAAATGCTTGATGGTTATTGTTGATTGTTTGTACTTTGATCATTATTTGTTTACACCATACACCATTGTAATTGGTCACTTCCTGCGATTGTCAGCTGGGTGTGGTTTAAGGTATTAGGTCCACCTGTTGGGTGCTGTTTGTTGACCATATGGTCTTGCTGTAAATGTTTGTTTATTTGGGTTATCACATTGGATGGAACAAGATCTTCAGTACAGACTGTTCATTGGGAACGAGTCACAAATATGAACCAAACGTAGCCGCGACTTCATTCACTGGGGGTTTTGTCGCTACCATACCATTGTGCTCACTTATATATTGTTGAGAGCTTTTCTAAACCAATGAAACCTTGTTTTTTTTACTTTATTAAAATTGTTCTTTAGTTTTTACTTTGTCTGTGCTGCAATATCTCATGAATTTACCCTCTGGCATAAAAAAGTCTCATCTTATTTCATATTGATAAAGAAGTGTCTTGAACTCATGTAACTGTGAAATCCTGAGGGGAGAGAAGAAAGGAAAAGCCGGGAAGACGACGAGAAAAAATCAAAATATGAATGTGTGCATTAACATATTTCTGTACCCTGTGGTGGCTCGGAGGAGAAAATGTAATTTCATGAATATGGAAATAATACAAGAAGCTGCACTACAACCCTAACTTTTCCTCTCAGATCATATAAAATGATTTCTTCAGCGTTTTATTACAGCCTTTTCACCATCGCTAAGATCAGTTTACAGCATGTTCAGCTCTTTGTAAAACACTGCATTTGGTGCAAACACATCTAAGATTTATGTTGCACATTGTGCTCAGGCTGTGAAACAGACCAAGATTATCTTTGCATCCAGGGGGAGATTTAGACTGGAGCGACATCTGTGTGCACGCTGCCCCACATTTTCTTGCCGCGTTCTAAGTGGCTTTGGCATGAAACCGGAGACTTGCAGCTTACTGCAGAGCAAACTGTGAGATGCAGGTGTTCCTGATGCTCAGCCAGCTCTCCTGGCAATGAATGAAGCAGAGAAAGAGTTCCTATTGAATGAGAGTTTAGTTACAAACTAGCTTCAGTATTTCTTATTTCATAGTTTCATAGTGTCTCAGGGGGCTTTACAGTGTGGACAGCATAAGACACCCTCTGTCCTTAGACTCTAGCAATGTACAAAGAAAAACTCCCAAGAAACCCCACAAGTATTGGGGAATAAATATAAGAAACCTCAGGGAGAGAAGCAGAGGAAGGATCCCTCTCCCAGGATGGACAGAAGTGCAATACTGTAGGTGACATGATCCAGATGCAATCTTTAATACTGGCAAAAAACAAAAGAGGAGCGAAACAAAAACTCTTTGGATGCTGAGTTAGTACACATGCATTGTTGGGACATGAATGCATACAGATAAAGAGAAAGACAAGTATAAGAAGAGAGGTGAAAGTCGAATGTCCCCCAGCAATCTAAACATATAGCAGCCTAACTACGATAACTATGAGCTTTATCAAAAAGGAAAGCATAAAGGGGCCCTATTGTGGTCTTTTTCAGGTTCATATTTATATTTAGTGTCTCTACTGGGACATGTCTCCATGTTCTAAAAGCTCTTTATGTTTCTTACGGCCCGTCCACACAGCGGCTTTGGAAAAATCTTGAAAATCTTGAAGGTGGGCGTGTCTGAAAGCTTGGGGATTTTTTGCGAGCAACGCAACCAACAACCAATCACAAATCTCCCGCCCCCGACATACAAAGCAAAAGACCCCGGGGATTTTATGCGAGCAATATATATATATATATATATAAACTCCCCAAACAGGCGAAAACCTACCAGTTTCACCTACTGTCTCTGCCACCTCCCTCCATGCCTGATTCCTCTGGTTAGTCTGGTCGTAAAGAACCGGGTGATTTGCTACCGTAATTTCTCGTTTGGAATATGAGGAAATGAACTGCGGTATGTCTCTCCCAGCTTACACGCGGTTTGATTGGCT